ATAAATGTTTACTTACAGGGAATGTTTTTGGTACCTCTGTATCATGAACTGTGTTCATCTTTTTTGCTTGGTGCTAAGTTTCCATGATCATCTAACTCAGTATATAGAAGTTCCAGTTTCCAGGCTAGTTAATACTATGACTATTATGAAATTTTTATAACAAGTCATTTTCTTAGCTATTAAGTCTTTTTAAACATAGTTAGGAAGTATCATTTTATTTATTTTTAAGTGTAGCAATTGACATTTATTAAATGTCTGACCGCATCAACATATTACGAATAAAATTCGTAATATTTTTTAAGTTGTTATAATTTATCATTGATATAAAATAAAAACAATGTTTTAGTTCAAATACGTGTTTAATTTGTAAGTTATTATAATATTAATTTTAACAATTATTTCTTGTTATTTAACTAATTATGCAAATTTGGAAAAAATAAGTAAATAAAGATAAAATAACTCATGGTCGATGTGCAGAGAAGTTTAATGTGGTAACTGATTAAATTGAATGTGGTTAATGGAATTCAGAACTTCTCATTTACAAGGCAAGGGGTCTTCAACTACACATGTTAGCAAATTTGTTATACTAAAGTATATGAGTAGAAATATCTTTAGTCTTAAAAAATAGTTATTTTTTGAGCAAAGAAATGAAATCAATAATAAATTACAATTTTTTCAGCATAATTGAAATGTTATATAGCTTATTCTAACATTTCAGAAACTATTTCATTCCTAAAATGTCTGGTTAATTGACTCAAAAGACTATTATTATATTCAAAAAAATTTAATGTCTTGAGTCTGCAGTCCAAAAAATCCTGGAGTTAATAAAAATCGATTGGACTTCGCATTCATGAAATCATATACCGCTAATAAATCTTTAATAGGTTTATAGAACAAAAAAAAAATATCAACAATTCTAACCTCTATAAAAAGTAAAGAATTTGGTACTAATTACTTTAGTAATTCTTCCTACCTCATTTTTTGAAGGGTTTGAAATACGCACAAATGGGTTGTAAATAATGTTTTCCTTGTGGTCTTTCAAAGTAAAAAAAAAGAGGATTGGGTTATTATATCTCGTGGTTGATTAAAATTTGTTTTCCTTCTTTGTTTATATAAACTTTTAATTTTGGAATTGCTTTTTTGTAGGTAGTGGTAATAGCATGTGTTAACAGATAATTGTAATCTTCTTTTTACAGTTTATACATATTTGATGTTTTGTCAGCTTGTGTTAGGGTTTCGTGAGATATGCATATATTTTTAATTATTTTTAATACCATTTTGAAAAGTGTTGCGTATGTCTTGAAAATTTATTGGTTTAATAAGATTGTTAAAGTCTTTTTCAAAGAAAGACAATTCTGTTATTTGTGGTGGACATATAAGAGATTTAATTACATAGTATGTATAATTAATATTGTTTTTAATTCTTAGATTGTTATTGATATTATACTTCAGTCAGGCAGTTTCAGATTGGTGACAGTAAAAAAAAATCCTTGAAAATAGAATTGGGTTCAAGAAAGCAAACCAAACTAATTTGGTTAAGGTGCAAATTTTTTCATTCCATTTTTCGAATCATTCTGTTCAATAACATAGCTTTTTTTTATAAGTAATATCATCTTGAAAAAATTAAATTTAGTTATTTTAGATCTTATTAGATTAGATCATATTTTAATCTTAATTTTAGTTTTTTTCATGTTTAAAACAGTATATTACAACTTAATGTTTTTAACACACATATACAATTCTTTCAGCAATGGTATTAAAAGGATTTAACTATTTAAAACACTAGCTAAAAAATGTTACATAATAATGGAGGGTTGTAGATATTCCTAATGTAATTGTTTCAGGCATCTACATTAGTCTCTATTGACATTGTTTATGTTATGTATTTTCTTTCTAATTTATAGCTGTAAAGCTGCTTGTAACCTGCTTTCAAATATTTTTTTTAATTTTTGAAAAAGCCTTAATCTTTATCTTTACTTACTTGACATTGATCATGAAATTTTGACTTACTTGACATTGATCAATGGAAAACCAAACATGAAGCTTCATGTTTGGTTTTCCATTATCTAAATGAGTCTTGATTATAGATTGAAATTCTTTGACTAAATTTTTGTACCCTTTTCCAAACTACCAAATTTTCTCTACAATATGATAATATTTTATTTTATACAATTAAATATTTTTTAGATTAGATAGAAATATAAATTACAGAAGTTAAAAAAACCTCTTTTATAATTGATATTCAGAAATGTTCATGTTTCACCATACCAATATGTTATTACCTGATTCATTTTGATGGAGTAATAAAATGTTGATGATGTGAACAAAGTAATCTGAATATGGAACAATAATATGGAACAAAATTGAATATATAAGCTACTTTTAATGACATCAGATTTCTACATCTAACACTAACTTAAATCTAGCACTAATTTGAGTTTTTATATTATTAAGGGGTGCTGAAAAAATTTGTTGCCACTTAATACCTAGTTGCTAAACACTTGACACCTTATTGATTTACCTTTGCTTGCTTTATTGTTGATTAAATTAAATAGTGGTGTAAAAATGCTGTATTTCTCTGTCAAGTATAGCTTTCAAGATTTACCACCTGGTTTGAATTGCTTCATTTGGTCAATAAAATGTTATGTTAGGATTGACTTCAAATCCTTTTTTTTTTGTATTCCCAGACAAATTTGAAAAGTTCAGTGGAGTTAGCCTTACTCGTTTAAAGAAAAGAATTTTTATGCTTACACCATCTAAAACTCTCTCTAAATCCTGTGCAATAATATCCTTTTTCTTGGTATGCTTTTACATTACAAATATAAATGAGTTTTTTTCTAAGGTATTTTACATTCAGTGGGCATGAAGTCGTTCGTTAGCAGTTGCATAATTGAACAGCAAAACAACAACAAAAAAAAACATATTTTTCATAAAAGTGTTTGTATAAATAGTCTATAAAAACTTTTTATTCAACATCATTTATTTAGAGTCGTTCACTTTTACTTATATCTAAATTTTATTTTATTTTAAATGTCCAAGTTATACAAACTCTAATTACACTTTAGAAATATGATTATGTCCACTATTTTGAGTACCACAGATGCATTCTGTTGATTGACAATATGTTAAGAAAGCGCATTCTAAAGTTGCAGATTTGCACATGTAGTTATATGTTGTAATAGCAAGCTTTGGGTAATAGCAAGGTTTGGTTTTATCTCTGAATAACTTTAAAATCTGTTCCTTGAGAGTAAATGGCAATTTGGAACGGTAAGACATAAATTCATCCAAAGCATTGGTCAGCTGTGCACAGCAATGCTAGTTCAACATACACGTTTTCCTTTGGTAAGTCCATTTCTAATTGATTTAATGCTTGCTTTGACATAGGTTTGTCTGCTACTACTTAGATGTTTTCTTACAAGACTGTCATAAGAATAGCTTCCATTTTAGCTCTGATAAGTTTCAAAAATATTTTGAAAATTTATTGTGTGGATAAACTGATGCTTTTGACCCAGCTAGTACGCTATATCCTTCCAGGTAATTGCATTTTGTTAATTACTTCAGTAGTAAATGGAATTTCTGCTATTATTGGCAGCAGTGCATTATTTTGATTTTTCTGTTCTGACATTTTTTAAAACAATAAACAACTTTAGATAGACTAGCAGCAATGAAGATTTTTCTAACCAGATGACATAGTTGTTATCAACTTTAATGGTTTCAGAATCGTTTAATGGCTTGCGCCAGCAACACTTTTCAGTAGCACGCTGCAAATCATTACTGACTTTTTCTCCAGTGTGCCATTTGGAACATTCTTGTGTCTGCAAGATTGCAGACTCCAGCTCCTATTCTGTGTTTATTTAATGTACAGATACACACATACACATACTGATTTTCCACATGTCAGTTGTAAAAGGTACAAAATGCACTTTCTTTAATTTCAGTTTTATTGACTTGACTAATCAGTATTGTGATAGAAAAATGAATATTGACAAAATAGCCTGGATCTGTGTAATTTAATAAGCTAAGGGATCCAGCATCTTCAAATAATCATATTGGGCATGCATCATGAGCAATAAAGTTTGCTATTTTCTGATCTCTTTCTAGTGCTCTTTTTTTTGTCATTTTAAGATGTGAGGCTGTAAACAAAGAAGATATGTTTAATGTGCTTAAACTGCCAGTGTCATCAATATCTAAAATATAAAAATTTTTTACTATAAATAGCATCATTTTAATTTCTGTACCAGTAGATATATTACCTGCTGTATCTACTTTGAAGAAAAAATATTTTAACTAACATATTTTAAATTTTTGCTATTAAAGAAAGCTTAAAAGAAAACTTTCTTTACAAAGTAAAAAATATTTATATTTGTGAATAGCATAAAAACTAATACAACTAGGTGAAACTAAAAATAGAAAAAATATATATATATATAAAATGAAAAATATGTTATAATAAAATTAATAAAATAATAGTAAAATAATAATAATAAAATTGATCTAAACTTATTCTAAATGCACAGTTTTATTTGTGCTTTGTACTGTCAATTCAAAGTCAAGAGGTTAAATTGCTCATTTTTATAAATCAACAGTTAATAAATTTTTCACATTTTGCAAAAACATGATATATATAAAACATTTTCTATCAAAGTTTTCCCTCAAAGTATGTTTTAAATAAATGTATATTAAAAAAAAACAACATATATTTACTAAATAAAAATTTAAAAAAAAATTGATACATAAAAGCATGTATAAGTTCTTTCTTATTATAATTATTATTTGTCATTAAAAAATTGTTTGCACATTAATTTTTATTACAAGTAAATAGTTAATCTCAAATCATAAGATAAAAATTGTATTTAATTCATAATATATCTGTCTATAAATGATTTTTTACATCTAACAATTAGATATAAAAAATCATTTATAGATAGATATATAAATATTATGTTAAGACAATATCATTGTTAAAATATCATAAAATACATTTTTTTTTATATATATAGTCTCTCCAAAAATCAAAAATGAAACTTATTTTTCTGAAAAACCTTATTATTATGAAAAATCAAATGCAACATTTAAATGTGAAGCTAGTGGTACACCAGCTCCATTTGTTTATTGGGATTATTCGAGAAAGCTTGAGGAAAACTGTATATTAATTGAAAAAGGATTTAATTTATCTTATTTAAAAATTATCGATTGTCAAGGTTTTTATGCAATAAAATTTTCATGTCATGCAACAAGTATAGCTGGAACAGATGAAAAAGTGGCACATATTAATTTGTCAGGTAAGAGTTGTTTATAGATTTGAGAACCAGCAGTTTTTTTTTTTTATAAATTCTAAAAATCTGAATGACTTTTCTTTAAGAATTGGATTTTATAAAAATATAGTCTTTAAATCAAAAAATTATTAGTTATTGTTATTTTATCAATTTTATCAAAGTTTATTATCAAATTATTTTCATAATTTTCATTGATATGATTCTTTTTTTATAGTTATAAATTTGCTTTTAAAATAATTACAACTCTCATATTTTAAAAATATACAAATGGTCGGGGCAAGAAGAAGACAAAATAGTCTTATCATCATTCTTCAAAAAAAAATTATGTAAAAGTTACAGAACAATTGATCAATATGTCAACTGTTGTGTATTATTATTTCATTTATTTAATAATGTTTAAATAATAATTACTTTAATTTGTTTATTATTATTAAATGTTTGAAAACATGTCAGTGGGAGAAGTAATGTTATTTCCCAGAGTTTTTTATGAATTTATCAATATTATAATTTTTAAGTTTATTAAAATAACAGTTCAACAACTTAAATGTTTTTAAAAAATCTTTTATCAATATCCTTTGAAACTTTTTCAACAGTCAGTTTCAAAATTAAATTTCTTTGAAATCATTGTTTTCAAAAAGGTATAATCTATAAAATACTTCTAAAGTTGTTTACTAAAAGAATAAAATTTTTAGATTTTTAGTTTTCAATCTTTTCTTCTTGCTCTACGACTGACTTGCTTAATGTTGTTACACAGTTAGCAATAATCTGAGCTGACCCTTAAGTCAGTATTATTTCATTATGAATAATGTAAAAATGAAAAATTTTGGACATTCTGTCATTTCACATATTTGTGCAATAAAGAAAATTTTCAAAATTGATTTTCTTTCTTGGAGGTAGGCAAATGATTTAAAATTTTAGATTTTTGGAATCCCATGGTTATAAGCTTTCACAGGTATATCGCAGTTTACTCAGGAACTGACTTAAGGATCAACTCAGATTTTTGCTAACTGTGGAACATACATAAATTGGTTATTAGGTTTACAATATGGTTGATAAGAACTGTTAACCAGGTTTAATGTTACATCAAGATAATTGAAAATTTTGATATTACTTTGGATGGAGATAAGTAGGTTGTTACTTTTAATAGTATGTGTAAAATGCTTTTTGTTTATTTCCATTTGTTAGCCACTTTTGATTTCAAAAACAGCAAGTCCCTTGTCACAATCAGGGTTTAAAGTAGAATAGTAAATCAAGTGGAACGGTGTTAAAAAGTTTAAATAGTTTGTTCAAAGGGATGCAGAATTGTCTATTCAGGTTCGAAATTATTCCTCTAAATTTTTGCTCTAGTTTTATATTTGTTAGGTGCAGTTTTGCTGTGTTTCGAGATCTTGCGTAATGACTAATACTACTTAACATTTGTCATAAGTTTTAGCAAAAATTAAAATAACTCTTTAACTTTAATAAAAATCAATATATCGCGGCTTTTTTGGGAACTGACTTAAGGGTCAACTCAGACTTTTTCTAACTATGGTTACTGAAAGATTTTATTATGCATTAGATGCACATTAGGCGGTATTGTTCTTCAAAAGCATTTCAAAAGCTTTTGATAAAGTTTGGCATGCTAGTCTTCTCCGTAATCTTGCTTCATATAGTGTATCTGGGAAAGTTTTTAGGATTATTAAATCATCTGTTTCTAACCACAGCATTAAGGTCATTTTCGAAAGTAAACACTCCTTTCATGTATTGTTAATGATCTTTTTGACAATCTTACATTTAAAATGGTTCTGTTTGCCGAAGACTCAACTTAGATCAGGAAGCTAATCTTGTATCTGACATCACTTCTGTAACAGCTTGGGACTTGGAATTTTGATTTAATTCAAAATGTTTTTTTGTAAATATATTTGGGGTCAAGATTTAAAAAAAGCATGAGGCATATTGAGGCAGTTTCCCTATATGTGTGGCAAGGTGTAAACCTTAAGGCGTAGATTTTTCTGCATCACATATTTGATTTTTGATATAAATTATGGGAAATAAAAACTAGTTTTAATACTATTTTATTTGATTATCAAGGAACAGTATTACCCCAGTTGGCCCCTATGTCAAAATCTAAATTTCAAGAATTTCTTTTTAAAATAACCAAGCAAAACTTGCCTTTAAAAAATTTTTTGTTCGGTTAAGATTTTGTTCTTGATTATAGTGTCTACTATAATTAAGTCATCATTATTGTTTGTTTGTTATGAGGCGTAATACTCAATTTGTTTGAGAAAAACTTTTTTTTTGAAAAAGTTTAAAAACAATGAAAATAACATTGAAGTAAAATCATTCTAATTTTAGCACCACTTAAAGACCAATATAGGCACAATTTAAATAAAATCATTCTAGTTTTAACATCACCAAAAGCATAAGCATAACAAAAAATAGTAAGTATAAAATTTATCACTTCATTGTTTTCATATAATCCCAATATCATAAAAGAAATAAGAAATTTCTAACTTCCACATTTAATTTAAAATAAACATGGTCTACTCTCATAAGTCATAAATCATCAATCATCGCCATTGTCACTAGCACTAGTGTTACTAATAGGATCCTCAATAGAAACCTAAAGGAATTTTATATGTTTCAGTTAAAGTACAAAAAAAAAAAAAGAACTTATTTAAATTAACATCTTATACTTTTGTATTAAGTAGATCTCATTAATTTATACATTTGTATATTTGGTCTAGGTTTTTATGCAAACTGAGTTATAACATTTGTATATTTGTTTTAGATTTAAAGACTAACTGTGGCAGTGGTACTAATTTTACCAACTTGTCTGGTAAAATTCAATTTCCTTTAATTGGAGATAAGTATTCACCTAATCTTGAGTGCAAGTGGGTAATTGATGTTGCTCCTAACATACTTAGTGTTATATTAAATGATGTAGATATGGAATATAGTGACACATGTGGATATGACTATGTTGTTTTTTTTTATGACTCTACTTACCAAAATGAAATCTGTCGGTATTGTTCAAATAAACATGTTATGTTGTTCTTTAAGTCTAGTATACTGTATATAAAAGTTGTTACTAATTTATTCGATCATCAATCTGGTTTTACTTTAACTTGGAACAGCACAACAGCAATAAATTCACAAGTTCTTGGTACGTAATTTTATTTAAAGTTATTGATTATTGTTCAAACAGCTTACTAGTCTTGAATTTTATTATTTGATCAATGTTTTTTTTATTTAAAAATTGTAAACGTAATTTTTCTACTGAGTCTTAAAAAAAAAAATAGTAAAACTAAATTTTTTATAAAAAATGTTTTTTCAAATAAAATAAAAAATAAAATTAACAGAAAATTTAAATTTAACCTAATATTTTACAAGATGTCATTTTCAAATTTTGAATAGTTTTATCAAAATTTACAATTTTTCATTTTTTCAATAATTTGCTTTATACATTTTATTTTGTAATGATCTGTTTTTTTTTGTTATGTTTTTACAAAAATAAAAGTTTATTTTGTATTTAAAAAACATAAATAGAAAAGTGAACATGGTGTTTGTAATTTTGTAAAATGAGTTTTATAAAATATAATAGCATTTAATATTTTCTTTATTTAATATTAATTTATCAAAATATTCTTTATAATTAAAAATACTTTATTTAAATATAAAACAGTGTCTAAATTATACTTGGAATTATGTGGAGTGTTATGTATTGTTATAAATCAAAAAACAAAATTAATATATTTACAGCTTACGTTTTTTTTAAGCAAAATTATTTACTTCTTCCTTTTACAGATTTATCTAAAAAGTTCTGGTAGTCTCAGTTTTGCAAACCTTGGCGCTATTCATTTGCCACCTGATAATAATTTGTAGAAAGATTTTATAATATTTAGACTGCTTTTTGTTGTTTTCTGCTGATGTGAGCTCTTCCATAATTTTTGTGAATTACAGATTTTTAAAATTTATCTCATATTTCTCAAACCACTCACTTTTTTTGTGAAATTTATTTGATTAGTTTGCAGATCGTTTTTTGGTATTATTTTTGACTTTTTTCTTAGGCAGTTTTTTTCTCTTTTTTTTTGCTTCCATCTGCTCATCTTTTCTTGTTATTTGTTGATAACACAAACAGTGCTTCTGGCTTTTTTTGAAGCTACTTGAAGTCTAAATGCTATCTTTATAATTCTAGTGGTTTTGTAGATGTTAGAGAAAACTCTACCATAAAATGAAATAGTCTAATTTACTTTGATACTTTGCACTTGTTTTTTGTTTTTTATTTTCTTTTGCTTAATTAACTTTTCTTCTTCTTTCTTATAAACCTTAAAATGTACAACTGAATAATGAATAAGTTTCTACTTCTACAACATTTTCTTCTACGACATTTTGTAAAATACTTAGTATTGCTTTTTAATTTGTTTTTTAAGTTTTTTTCAAGGCAAAAATTCCTTCTCCTGATTGTAAAAGGGTTAATATACAAAAAATAGTGTACAGAAATTAATATACTGAAAGAAATTAATATATAAAGAAAACTTTTTATTTTTTTAAAAGTTGTTAAAATCATAAATGGACATCATTTTTAAAGATTAAAAATTAAAATATTTTAACATAATTTTTAAAGCTGTTTTAAAAGCACCATTTTGCACCCATTTTAGAAAAGGCTGTGGCGCAGTGGTTAGAGCGCTTGTTTTATAAGCAGGAGATATAGGTTCGAAACGAGCTTTGGACATTATTTTGTGTCACGGTAAGGAAGGAGGCATAAACTTCCTGGTTAAGCGCACTTCCATGATGCTCTTTGACAAGATCGTTAGGTCTTCTTGGGGCACGTAAAAAAAAGAAAAAAAGAAAAAAAAGGGTTGTTTTTGAAAAAGTTTGGAGAATTCATTTAAAATATTTTTAGGAGAAGGAAAAAATATAATTACTTTTTTATTTGTAAAAGTAACCCATTTACTTTTAGTTTTTCATTCAATAAAAGCATTATAATTGCTTGTATATTTATAGTTTTGTAATATATATAGAGTTCATTTTTATTTTTATTTAAATGTACATATGTACTTAAAATCAACCATTTTTTTTATAGAATATGAATGTATGGTACTTCACCACTGTTTTACTTGCGGAATACGATATAAATCGATAAAAAACGTAAAGGACATTACTTCCGCAGAAGGCAAAAAACTGTGTAAACAGAGATACCGCCTCTTTCTGTTCAGTGTATAATGAGTTTAATGAATGGAGTAATACCTATACAAAAATAACTACTACAAAACTTTGTTTAAATTGACTCGTACATAAATAGTTATATTCATATTAAATCAAAGAAAGTAAACAAATACAAAAAAATATACATCCTTTTTGTAAAAGTTTAAAGGTTAGTAAATGAAATAAAATTGGTTTGACAAACATAATTTATATAAAATTGTTGTTTGAGTGTACTGTTATGGTATCACTCATGAGGAAGAGACTGCATGAAGAATGTATGCATGATGGATGCTTGGAATAAAATTCCTTCTGCAAAGACCAATTAAGTCATTATATTTGTTTTCATTAATGCAAATGGATGTTGTTGAGTTTTAGTCAATTCTATCAATGCAACATGAGAAATATCATGAACTTTTCTTATTTTTTGTGCAAGATTTAACTGTACACATTTGTTAGAGTAGTCATGTTTGGAATGTCCCGCTTTTGCTGGATAGTGAGAATTAATAAGAAAAATATAACTCCAAAGATTTTTATTTGATTTGCATTGTCGCGCACACAGATTTCTCAGATGTTGCACTCATTTTCTTAGACTATTTGAAACCACATAATCATAAAATTATAAAAAGATTTAATTTTTTACTTACATTAATTACACGCTAAATTATAAAGTTACAAGGACAAAATATTACAAAAGCATATCATCAATTAACTCAGATGTAAATCGACTACGATGGTCTGGTGTCATGTGCTTTAAGACTGAAAACATACGCTCGACTTGGCATATGGTTAGTGACAAACCGAAAAGGCAGGCATCCCATTCAACTTCAGGGAACTGCTTAATTGATTTTAATGGGTTAAGTTTTTAAAACTCGTTCAAGTTGGAAGAGTAGTCTTTAAACATTGAACGAATTTCCGAAATTATTTTTAGAGCTTGTCAAAACTTTTTGATTACATCTAAGATAAAAATCTTTGGAGTTATATTTTTCTTATTAATTCTCACTATCCAGCAAAAGCGGGACATTCCAAACATGACTACTCTAACAACTACCATCGTAGTCGATTTACATCTGAGTTAATTGATGATATGCTTTTGTAATATTTTGTCCTTGTAACTTTATAATTTAGCGTGTAATTAATGTAAGTAAAAAATTAAATCTTTTTATAAAAAAAGTCATGTTGGCTGTGTTTGGAAGCTCTTTTATGAGTTGTATCTTCTTTTTTTGCAGCCAAGTTATTCTATTTTTGTCAAAATTTTTCAATAATGTTGCAATTTGTTTAAAATCAAAAAAACCATCGAGGTCTTGTACACTGGTTGTGTATTGTGTTGAACAACATTTCACAGTTTTCATCACTTGGGCCCACTGCGGCATGATGCATTTATAAATGTCTTTGCTTGTCTTTTCTATTCTTAAATTTCATTATGTGAATGGCTTGACACAAAAAACACATGTTCTATTTAGAATTTAGTGAGAACCAGAGCATACTCAACATGTTTTTATTTCTGTTCTGGCCGCCACAACTATCCAAGAAAATAGTGACTTTCTTTTTATTTTTTTCCAAAGCCATTGGAGATATTTATAAACGCATGAAGATTTTTTGTTTGATCCCATGCCAGCCATGGCTTCATCCCAGACATTGCAATTGCCTATTGATGGTCCATAATCATACACTGTTGAATTAAATGTATTTAGATTTTTTTGTAGTACATACTCGATTCACAGCTTGAGGGAGTCTGCAAAACTTACTCCAAGTCAAAGCACTCTGCTGCAAAATTCGAATCAGTTTTTTGATTTTTCCTTTAGGACATCTTTGTAGGTTCTGGAATCTATTTTTAATTTCATGTGTTCTTGATAATCTATCTTCTTTTTAATTTTATCATCAAGTGATGAGTTTTCATATCCTGAACAATATCGTTCTGGAAAGAGGTATCACACCTCTTTTTAGAACGTTTGTGGAATCCTAAATTAAACTCTGTGTAAAATATTTTCTTATATGTTACCAGGCTGGCTGTTTTTAAATGTTCTTTTTGTGCTAAGCTCTCTTTATACAGGCTATACATTTTTTCTAAATTTAAGTTAGATTCAAGGTACTCATGTTGTGTTTCTTTCCTGCACTAGTGGCTTTTTGTTTTAGGAAAAGATCTTATATGAAATCTAATCCTTTACTTTTTGTCAGGTTTAGAATTGTCTCTGTTAGAGTGCTTACTCCGAAGAACTTCAAATGTGGTGTTGATCTCTGTTTTTTTCTTTTTTTATATGAATACAACTTTATCATAAATATTTAAGGTTGCTAAAAAAATTTTTTGCCAATGCAGTGTTTTTCTTGATTGTAAGGCAAAAACCATTCATGTAATTTTTGCTTCCTGTTGCTGTTTATGCCACGACTTCTTTGATTTGGTACTTCCAAGATGTTTGCATTAATGAAGTCTCTTTGTTGCTCTTAACTCCAGTTTTCCAAGAGTAATTGAATATTTCTTCTCTTTTAGATTCGGAAAAAGTATCTTTACATTTCAAGTCATTTTCTGCAGTTTTTTTTCCAGTTCTCCTTATCTCTAAATCGTTTTATTCCAATTTTTTCATTTTGTGGAAACAGTATGGGACTCATCAAAGTACTTGTAGCAGGGGATGATTACTATATTTGTAGAAAGACAAGACACATTTGTACTTGCAATGCTGCCAGTAGAAGTGGATACATTATAACACACCATGGCACTTGGAGATACGAACAACTTGGCTGAATTTACAATCATGCATGTTGATGTAGAAGACATTGGAATTACTAAGTCATCAGATGATGCAATTGAAGATGCTGATGAAGAGCTGAGTTAAGATGATGAAATAGTTGAATTGAAAATAATATTTTCTCTTTTTGAGGGTCAAAAATCTTCATCACTTGTTTCTATAGTTTCTGATTCTGAAGTTTTGCATAATTGTTTTTTTGCTAACCAACTTTGACTAAGTTCAGCTAAAAGCACATCAGAATCAGAATCTATCAGCTGAGTCTGTTTTTTACTCCTTTTTTTATTTCTATCTTTAGTTTTTTCCTTGAGATGGATCAGAGGTAAATCCAAATCATACATTTCCATGTCTGAAGCAAAAATAATATGTTTAATAAATGTTTGTCCATCTTGTTAAAATAAAATAAAAACTATGTATGAAACATTTCCTAATTATTATTATTTTGTTAAATTATTGTCAATAATACTAAATCAAACAATTGTGAATGCCTATTTAAAAAATAAACTTTAAAAAATGTATTGATTTATTAAGTTTTAAAAATTTTTAAAATGACAAACAATAAGATGATTTGATTTTCAAAACTCTTCATCGCTCAGATAAATAACAAAACTCACTATATAGTAGTGCTTTGTCATATTTAATGTACTTATAACATTAATGGCCTTGTCTTATACAGTAGTTTACAGTAGTATTTCCAGTTGATTTGATTAGCTTATTTTTTTTTTTAAGATTTGAAATATATTTTTTAATAAAAAAAGTAATTGGTTTTAAAAGTAAAACTTACTTTACATTTTTTAAATTAAATTTAATATGTATAAAATGACTATAAAAAAACTTTACCACTAATAAATTTGTTGCTTGGATTGGGAAACGGGCTTGAATAAAAACAATTTGATTACTACAAATTTAAGTACGCCTTTGCTTTAAATTTTTCTAGCGGTCTTTTTCTCTGCAATGCATGTGCTGCAATGCAAGGCGAAAAAAATTTGTATTATCCAATATGTGTCTTTTCTATAATGATTTGCAACATGATGGCATATACACTTTTTTTTAAATTAATAATAACACATTAGTTATAAATAATCGAAGCATAATACTTTAAGATAACATGGACAATACTCCATAGTTTTTACTGTCTGAATTTCTCATTTTTGGCAAAAATGAAAATATGTCTCTTTTCTATAATGGGTGCGATTTGTAGTGTTAAAAATTTCCAGAAATTTTCAAAAATTATTTTTGCAATAACTTATTGTTTATTGTACAGTTTTTAAAAATTCATCTCTTTGTTTCAAAAATATGCATTTTATTATCGTTGTATTTAGGTATTTTTAAATATTTCAACGAAAAGTATAAAATAATAAAGCAAAAATACAAATCATTTAGTCAGATTTTCATAATCAAGTTTATCAATTTAACAGCATTTTTTGCACCATTTTTAAACTGATAAACTTAATTATAAAAAACGCTCAATTTTTTATGTTACTTTTACTTACATTACTTTTGTGAAACAAAAAAAAAGTAGATGTTTTAAGAGTTAGCTTGTCTTTTGAGCTTGTGTATAACATATTTCAAGTTTTTACCTCTCTCAACTACAATGTAAAATATTCACAAAATAAAATCTTTCTTAGATTAACAAGTTTTATTGTGTAATATTTTTGTAAAGTGTTTTAAAAAAACAAAGAATTTTTATGTGTGAAGATTGCATAGAAAGACAATTTTCGAGGGACGGTGTGTGGGGGAAAGGTTGTTCTACCCATACAAGTAAGGTGATTTTTTAGTTACAGTTGGTTTTTTGACGAATTTAGTCGGATGTTTGACACAATTCAGTTAGGTGAATTTTAGTTTTTTTTTATTTTTATGTTAAAGAAATCAGTCAGTTATTTTTACAGATTCAACCCTCCCATTATTTTTTAAATTATTGATTTATAAAGTCAAAAGTGCCTTGGCAAGGTTGTGGCAAGTGAGACTCAAGCCTTAAAAGCACTTATTTAAACATAGCTGTGGAATTTATGACCTCAAAATTATTAGTTATTTATTTTTATTGCTAGCTATACTTTTAAATAGTTCAAAATTTAACAAAAAAATTTTTTTTTACTTTTACCTTTCATTAATCAATATCGTCTTTAAATTAAAAAAAAGTTGTAAAATACTGTAAATATTCAATCAAACCTTTTTATATATAATTTTACAGTTTTCAATAACTTTTAGGCCAATTTAATAGGTATTAAAAAATGCCTCATCCGCTATAAGGATGGGGTGCACATTATGTTAAGCCTTTAACAAAGAATGCTATGGCAATGCACATCAATATGCGTAGTAAATAACAGGATAAAACAGTTTTGGAAAATTTTGAAAACAAAGTATCATGCTACTTAAAGTTATAATTAAAAAAACTCACAATAATACCAAAAAAAGTGTTTTACAAAGTTTTTAAAATTCAAAACTTTCTAAAATTTTTATAATCTACTTCACAATATTTTACCATAAAATTGCCCATAGCAACTGCCTAAATAAAGCATAAAGTTTTACCCGTTAATTATAAAATAACTTATCTTTTTTTAAAAATTTCCGAAAATTTTTTGAAATTTTCTGGAAATTTTCCAGAGTTGAAAATTTCCGGAAAAAATTCCAAAAATGGTTTTTTGTAACTACATATTTAAATATACATTTTTGCAATATGCTTGTTTTTTAACTTTTTCAATCATTATCTACAATAAGAAATGAAAAAAAAAAAAAAAAGCATTAAATATTTAAATACATTAAAAAAAAGCATTAAATAATCATCATCAGCTAATTGCTTAATTAAAGCAAATATAAGAAAATAGATTTTGGACTTTTTTTGCACAACTTTTTTCTGGATTTTTTTCTGAAAATATGACCCAAGCTGTCATTGCATACATGCTAATATCTAGAAAATTTTCAAAAAAACATAATGTAATGCTGGAGTAATGCAAAAAAAAAAAGTGTTTATATAGTAATTTTAAAAACTTTTTTAGTCTCACCAAAAATCAAAAATGAAATTTATTTTTCTGGATTGTCTTATCATGCAACCTACTCAAATGTAACATTTAAATGTGAAGCTAGTGGTACACCAGCTCCTTTTGTTTATTGGGATTATCGTGGAAAGTTATCTGAAAACTGTATATTCATTGAAAACGGATTTAGTTCATCCTATTTGAAAATTATTAGTTGCCAAGACTCTTTAAGTAAAATGTTTTCATGTTATGCTAAAAGTATAGCTGGAACAGATGAAAAAGTAGCAGATATTAAATTGTCAGGTATGAGCTGTTTATTAATTTTAAATTTATGAATTTTATATGAATTCAAATTTTATTTGAATGGATTAAATTTTTTGAATCTGTAAAAAATTTGCTTTTTTTTATAAAATTAAAACATTAAAAATTAAACCTTTATTAATTTTATATACAAGATTTTAATAATGGAGTTAACTTTAAAATTTTGAATATTTATAAGCACTAGCTTATATTGAAAACAAAAATTATATTATGGCAACATGCTACAAAATGCAAAATTGCACTTTCTAAAGAATTAGATGCACTATGTGAGCAGTGTAATAAAGTTATGCAGTGTTCAGGCAACTCTACAACAACATTCAAGAATCATCCTGAGACACATGGCGTTGATGTCAATAAAACTGCTCAAAACACATCATCAAAGGAAAAGCAGAAAATGAAAAGAGACCAAATAAAGCAACAATATAAGAAACCATTACAGACCTTGCAACAGACAGAATATCTCTAAGAACAACCATTAAAACTAGTTATATAAAGCAATCAATATCCTGAGATAGATTCAAGCTTCCAACAATATTTAGTGCAGTAGTGGTGTAGTGGTAGGACACTTGCTTCATTATACCATGTTCACTAGCGATGTTTGGAGGAACATTGTTCCAGAACAAATGTTCCTGGAAAAAAATGTTCTACATAATGTTCTTTGTAGCGATCATATGTAAAATTGGCTTGACGGTACATAAAAGAAAAAACCCTTAAACAAACAGTAAGTAAATCTTGAATAAAAATTACTGACAAACAGTTATGCATATACACATTTTTTATATAATTTATTTTTAATATTTGTTAATTTAGGAGAGGTAAAAACTAAATGCAAATAACGCTGCGAGTCCAGCTAGTTTAGGTTTAGACAATAAAAACCCAACCCAAAATACCCGTCATACAAAAGGTGACGTTGGAGTTTTGTTATCCTGTTTCTTATAAAGCTTGACTTTTATGGATAGGTCATATCTTCTTTAGTTGCTTTTGATGACACAGAAAAGCAGTTTCTTAGTGGTATAGTACTAAATAAACATATTATACATTAATAAACTACCCACCACCATTAAAAACTATTCTCATTTTGTGTTCATACATGTTTAGCATTTATTTATTTAGACACATTTGATAACCTCAAGTAAAGTAAATTTAGTTTAAAATCAATAAATACATAACCATATTACAGCTAAAGCTTTAAATAATAAAAAACATTACTACTTTATTTATCTCTTTCATAAAGGTATTTAGCAATTGAGTCACTAACATTTTTTCCTGGTCCATTGTTCCCAGCAGTAGAAACTGTATTGGGTTGAGCCAGACTGTCATCATGATTATGTGTAAGCCATTTTATAATAATAATGTTGTCATAATATTCACAAATGTTATGAAGAGTGACGCAAGCATAAACAATTCTTGTAGCAAAGGCAATATCGCATTCCATACTTTTGCAAATGACACGGAATTGAGCTTTAACGCATCCAAAAGCATTCTCAACTACTCTTCTAGCTCCGCAAAATGTTTTATTATAGTTTTTTTAAACTTCACTAAGCTCCAAATTTTTAGGATAAGTTTTTAACAAATGACGCGTTAGAGGAACTGCTGAATCCCCCATCAAACATAGTGGAACAAGAGAACTGCCCAGCTCTTTATAACATTTATCAAATAGATTTGATTCTAAAATTGCTTTCAAAAAAGAATTCTGCAAAATATAGCTGTCATTATTTTTACTAGGCAATCCAACACTTGTATAAATGAAACGGTATCTGCATTCTACAACAGCAAAAAGTACAATGGAATACCACCCTTTATAATTATAATAAGAAATTGCTTGATCTTTAGGGGCTGAAATAGGGATATGGCATCCATCAGCACATTGGGTAAAACCAAGAATAGTTTTGAAATCTCTACTACATTTATTTAAATTTTCTTCTGACAATGGAAATTTAACATATTTAGGGAGCAAAATGTCATTAACAGCGTTAATAAATTCATAAACAATTAAGTTTGTTGTTGACTTTCCTATGCCAAAAAGACTAGACACAACACGATACTCTTCATGTGAAGCTAGATAATGTAATGCAACTGCAACACGTTTTACTACTGAAATAGGTTCACGCATAGTTGTTGTAGTTTTGCATAAATGTGGATGCAATTCATTAACTATGAAACTAAATGTGTTACGATTTACTCGAAAATGTTCTTTAAATTCACATTTCTACATTTGAGTAAAAATCTTTTTAAACCATCTCGTTAAATTTTTAGGCTTAACCCTTATTTTAGGCTTAACCCAAACTTTTCTTTCAATTAGATCCCCTTGTTGATTCAACTTAAAGGAAGCTAAATTTAAATATGAAAAAGGGTGGGTGGTTGATTCATCATCAATCAATGTTCTACTTCTTGAATGAAGTACAGCCAGAGCGCTTTCTGTGTTTTTCCAATAGTTTTTTCCTTCACAGATATCTCCCTAAAATGTTATTATAACTATATTAATACATTACATAAATATAATATTTATTATATAACAATTCAAAGAAAATTAGAATACTTTGTTAAAAACCATTTTGTTAGAATTAATACAATATAATCTGTAATGCAATTTGTATAGATAAAAAACAAGTCACGGTGGCATAATAAAAAAATATATCACTATGATTCATATATATATATATATATATATATATATATATATATATATATATATATATATATATATATATATATATATATATATATATATATATATATATATATATATATATAGCATAAATAGGTAAACAAGGTATAATGTTGAAAAAGATATTAACCTTTTGACTTTAACATAATTACTAAAGAGATATCTTTACTAATAGAACACCTTATTTTTTCATTAAGAATTTATAATATTCTATTTGGGCTTTAGACACATCTACTTGGGCTTGAGATGCATTTTCAATTGCGTCTCACATACGCTCTAATGCATCAACCTCTCTGATTCATAGCTCTTATGAACGGATTTGAACATCTAGATTTTTATTTGCTAATTTTAAGTATTCTGAAGAAAAATTTGCAATTTTTTTTTTTTTTTACCAGTTCAGTTTTTGCTATTTTATTTAAAGATTTTTCATCATCAGAGTTACTTCATTTATTGCAGCCGGATGTAGATTGAGTTGGTTCCTCATCAGGAATAGTGACAATGGTTGCCCATCACTTGTATCATCCAAAGCTTCAATATGTAAAATACCAATAGTCTCCTTGCCATCCTCCATTGTGGCAATCTGTAACTAAAAAATACATGTTAAAAAAAAAAATTCTACATATAAGAAACGATTATAAATCATATTTCAATCAAAATTTATCTTTTGACTTTGAGAGACTTGACTTCCATTCATTTTATCCCCCCTCCTTACCCAAACAAAAAGAATCTATATAGACAATAGAATTTAACAAATTGATCTCTTGCCAATATTAAAAGATCCTTTTATAATTCGAAAACATGATATTATATGTTTTTGATCTTTATGTTTTAAGTCTTTCAAATGTTACAAAATTAAGAACTCAATAATATATTAATACAATAACAAAATTAAGAAAATAATATATAGCACTTTAAAATATAAAGCAATAAATTATACTAAGCTTACCTATTCATCTTGAAATTCTTGACTAGAAAGGTTTTGACTTTTAGATAAAAGGTCATTGTCAAGGGATGCTTCACCACCTATTATTTTGGCAACAATATCGTAAGGCCTCCATTTACTAGAAGCTCCTCCCAATGAACCAATTTGAAGTTTTTCTTGTCTATGAAAAATATACATAAATATAAATAAATAAAAGCTTATCATTAACACAATATAATATGAATCAAATAACTTTAAATGTGATAATTAAAAATTATTAACAACCTGTAAATCTACAATACTGAATAAGATTTTAAGTAATTTTTAATATAACACTCAGTTTCAAATTATACATGGTTAATTTTGTTAAATACTTTCAGAATTTCAGTAAGGTATTATACATTAAATATAGAATATGTACATACCTAAACTTTTTATTCAAATTACTAATTTTAGATTGAATTTGAGATCCAGTTAAAGGAGGTACGATATTAAATGTGTTTGAAAATTCAGCTGCCATTTGTTTGTAAATATTTGTGTTTCCTCTTGCAGATATTAACACTTTGTAATTATCTTTCCATAAATCTTATAATACTCTTGTGTAAGCAATATTCCATACAAAATTATTTCCAGGAGATATGCAAAGACCAGTATATGATGAGCTGGCTTCAGTACTGTTTTTATCTGAATCTGAGAAATTGTGTAAACTTAAAGTTTTACCTACTAAAAAAAATAAGTGCATTAAACCTAGCAACAACAAAAAAAAGAAAAAAATAACTTAATAATAGAATAAATAATAGAAGGTTAAACTTTACAATTGGTATGGGCATGCTAAATAATTAAATGGTATGGGCTTTAAATAATTTAACAATGTTATTGGCTTAATAAATAATGGGGTCACTAATTAATTTATTAAATTGCTAATAACTGGTAGCCAAGAGAACAAAAACTTTCAGATGCTACTTTTTTCTTATTTTTACTTTTCCATGCAATGTAATAATTATGTCATTTAATAACATTGATCTGTCAACACTATTATTTGTTTTTATTATAAAATGTCAATAATTGTTGCACATTGTGGCAAAAATATACGGTACAGTCATATCAATACAGTCAATTAACAACATAAATTCTGAAAAAATGTCTTACTTTTACAATTATTCACAATCAGTAAATTAACAAATATTAAGTAAATACAGAATATTTATGAGGAAAATACTAATGGTTATGTTAACAAATTAAAATAACAAGATAAAACAAAGCTAATATAATAAAATATATGATAAAGCTACTATATAACAATATATACCAATTATAATATCATTAATATTATTAGTATAAATAATAATCACAATGACGATATTATTAATGATTTTTTATTATTGATGATAACATCAATAATAAAAAACATATTATAATATGATTTTTATTATTGATGTTTTTATTATTATTATTGTTATTATTATTGCTATTATTGTTATTATTATTATTATTATTATTATTATTATTATTATTATTATTATTATTAATATTATTATTAATATTATTATTATTATTGTTATTATTATTATATTTGGCATAGCTAATGATAAACAATTCTGCTTATGAGTTTAAAGTTAAATTTTATAAGTAAAATTGCTATAAGTTTATTAAAAATGCATTAATAAGAATGCTTGCAAAGAATATAATTAAATAAAAGCTATTAAACAATAAAAATTAAACTTTCTTAACGCAAGTTAAATGTTACCTTGAATTATACTTCTTATCAATTCAAACTAAAACTGATCTCAATAAAGAATTTATTCCCAAATAGGTCTTTTTAATAATGGTATACTTGAAGAATAAGTTTTTTAACACTAACATGAATATAACTTCTTTTTAAACTAATAATAATTAAATTTCTATTCTATTCATACAAATTTTAAACATCGTTAAAAACAACATAATATTTTTGATGGTCAAATAAATTATTTTTAAATAATCGCCCACCATCTGGTCTAATCATGAATGATACTCATGTGGGATTGGAATTATCTTGGTTGCATGCTATAACCACAAGTTTTTAACTCAATGAATAAAATTATGAAATAATATTCAAAAAAATGTTCTTAATTTAATAAGAAAGATAAAATGCCAAGACTAAAAGTTTCAAGGCAACATGTTGCAAGACTAAAAGTTTCAAGGCAACATGTTGCAAGACTAAAAGTTTCAAGGCAACATGTTGCAAGGCCAATAGTTTTGATACTCTTGTCTTGATATATGACCAAAACCAAGAACAATGCAGAGATCAAGGACTAAAAACTCTGGTTAAGATGACAACAACTTTATAAAAAGAATAGTTTGAGCCTTTCACAACAAGTTTGCATCTTGTTATGTTTTTAATCTGTTATGTTTTTATCTTGTTATGTTATGAGTAATTTTTTTGCTTATTGACTTGAATTGAAGAGCTTAGTGCAAAAAATACTCAAGTCACAAAGTAATTGTTTTGAAGAAATCTATTTTGATCAGAGATATAACACTTGAAAATTAGGATTTAAAAAGGCTGATCAAAATAGATTTTCTCAAAATGTTTATTTTGTTACCTAAGTATTTTTAGCACTAAGTTCTTCAATTTAAGACATAACAAATCATAGATCAAGTCATAAAAGTTGTCTTTAGATCAAAAACATTGTATTCAAATTAAATTTCTAAAATATTTGGGTTATCTCAATGACATCTAAGTGGTCATATAAAATTGTGATGACACATTTAAATATGGTAATGTCTTAAGATAAGCATTTTCAAATTGCCAGATTTTTAGCATGATTACGTGAGGTTGATCTTGAATTAATTTGCTATTTCTACAATAAATTAATTGTTACATTTGAGTCATAAATTCAAATGTAAAGATCTGTTTTGTCACACATAAATCTTACTGCAAAGTAACTTTTGAAAGAGACATTGCATCCTATAATTAATTTTTCATGCCATTTTCATAACAATTTTATAAAATTTTTTCACTTTCCTGAAGTGAAATTTTCCTGATGTAGAATGATAAATTTATATTAAAAATAAAATTTTAGTGATTTTGTTAATAAACATAAATAATAAAAGTATTTTTCAAGGTAATATAAGCAGTACAGCACAATAAAAAATTAATAAAATTACATTTTATACTATTTCAGAAACTTTAATTTTTTGATCACAATTATTTTGGATGATTTACTTTAAATATTTTGTTTCATCTACAGGAAATTTTTTTAATTTTAGATTCTCCATTTGCTCCTTTAGTTTTCTTACTTCCATGGACAAGATCATCATTAATTTTGAAATGGCCTTTAATTCCACCTAGTAAATATGGAGAAAAAGTTACTAGGTATATTATAAAATATTACCTAACAAAACTAGGAACATCTAATAAAACTCAAATTGAAATCCTTTCTAATTTTACCTCTGATATATATATGCAGTACAATTTGAATGGACTAACTTTTGAAGAATATACTGTTCAAGTTTATGGTATGAACATTTATGGATCAGGCCAACCATATTTACAAGTATTTAATCCATCTTATGTTGGTAAGAATGATTGTATTTACAGAATCCTTTCTTACCACGATATTTAAAAAATTTGTTTTATTGGTAATTTTAAATTAAAAAAAAAAACTTATTTCATAATTTTTATGGTTTTTAACTCAATTAACATAAAGAGGTAAACAGATTTAAATTATGATTGGTCAAAATATTTGGTCAAATACTAAGATACATCAAACAAACAGTAGTACTAATTATATATTAGTACTAATGTTATAAAATAAGTAATTATTTTAAAATATGATTTAAAGCCAAAGTTTTTGATCATGTCATTGTTTATTCATCAAATACGTGAAAATGAAAGTGCCTCAATATAAAAACATATTTTATACTTGTTCTATATTTTGTTTTTTTTTAAGAAGGGGTAAAATAAAAATAATAATTCCTTTCTAATGGTTGAAAACATTTTTCGTTTAACTTTAATATTTTTACAAGTTTATTTAAATTTATCAAATTTACTTTTTGATGGCTATTTTGGATTATATATTTTACTTATACAAAAGGAATGTTTTTTGGTAGTTAAATATAACATATTGATAAATAATGTTTTTAGATTTTACACACTTATCTTTAACTAAAATTTGTCAATTGATACTCAAAAAAAAATTTTTTTATCATTGTTTTCTGTGGTAAATTTTTTAAAATGCTAAAAAAAATTATATTATATTTTTTTAATTGAGAAGATTTAGGATGAGTTTTAATTTATTATTATAGTTAATTACATTCTTTAAAGATTAAATGCATTTACTTTTTATGATTATTAATAAATAAATTAAAATAAAGGGTCTGTAATTCAAGTGTAAAATTAAGTTTTGGAATTGATGGTAAGTAAGAAATTTCATGAAAATTATTTGATAATGTTATTTTTTGCTAAATTAAACAGAATATCTGTGGCTTTAAAATGTTTGCTTAAAAGAGGTAAAAACTTTACTTTTTTGGCAGCATATTTTCAGCTTTTTCTACTGCATGTTGTGATTTTTTTATTCCAGTTATACACAGACCTTTGTAATAACAGCAAATAAACTACTGTTAACACTAAAATAACTGAAAATAAGACTGATATAAAACTGTCCTAAAAATGATTGCACCTCTATTGCACTCATTTGCGTAATACACATTAAAATGAAAACCCTGCTATTGGCAATCTACTAAAAAGAAATGTATGGAAAACAACAATAAGGAATCATGAGTTACTATTTGCTTAAGAACTTTGAATGTCTTGTTTCTGATTCTCATTTTTTCCACATCTAACCTTAGGTGCTTCTAATCACAGTTTAATTTTTCTAAAACTGTTATCTCATTCTTCTTCATTGTCAGAATCCCCCTATCATCTTGCCTCTTACAACTACCTTGTAAGAGGTACGACTTCTTTCTGTGATTTTTTTCATGGTAATCCTTGGGTAGAAATCTTTGGTCTTCCTGCTGACAAATGTGCTTTTTATGTAACTTCTTGGATTCAGGCTGGCATGAAATCTTTTATTCCTTTTTAATGATTCCAAGTAAAGCCTTTTTTCTTTTCGATTGTTTACCTCCCATTGTACTGCTGCAATTTCAAATTGTAACCATACTTCCATATTTATCACCAAAATTTTTTCCAGAAAACAGACGCCTGTTTATTGCTAAAAACCATTGTAAAATGGTTTTGTCTCGCCAAAGCCTGCTATTCTCTAGTAACAAAATCTTGTATTTCATCTCAAAAATTAGGCTTCAGAGGCTTCTGAAGAATCTTTAACAGTATCTATAATAAGGGCAAATCTGTTATTCCACCTCTCTTGTATGATTCAGAATTTTTCACCTCACTTAGACAAAACTAAATTGTCACCTCACTTAGACAAAACTAAATTGTTTGCTAAGAACTTTTCAACAGTCTCATCTTTTGATTCTACTAATCACATCCTAGCTGATATAGTTGGCAAACAGGTTGATCCATTGCTTGACGTTTGCATCACTCCAGCTTCTGTATCTAAAGTGATTTCCTGCATAGACTCTTCTACAGTTTGTGGTCTGGACAACATACCTGTTATAGTCTTGTAGAAGAGTTCTCCAAAGCTGTCGTTTATACTTTCAAAACTATTTAACAAGTGCTTTTCAAAGTCTTGTTTTCCAGTCTGCGGTTAGCAGCATCTGTTATCTGTATTTTCAAAAATTCTAGAGAGCAATCCGACTTGTCTAACTACCATCCGATTAGTCTTTTTAACATTTGTTAGTGGTATTAGTATTTTATAACCTTCGATAAAGTTTGGCATGCTGGTTTCAGCATAAGCTCTCTTCTTATGGTGTTTAAGGTAACAACTTTTTTCTTAAAGTTCTTTTCTTAGCCCAATATTTTTTCATATTTAAGTTAACAATATCCTAGAAATTCTCATATCTATGATGGCATTGCTTACTAGTACTACTAAAAATAAATGGTACTACCATTTATTTTTTTCTTGATAAGAAGCACTCTCTGATTGCTTGAAAAAATCTCACTTCTGATACAGAATATGGCTCTCAGTGGCTGGTGAACTTTAACTATTCTCATATCTATGGTGGTATTGCTTACTGATGGTACAACCATTTATTTTTTTCTTGATAAGAAGTAAGCACTCTCTAATTGCTTGAAAAAATCTTTCTGATACAGCATATTGCTCTCAGTGGCTGGTGAACTTTAACTAAAGAAAAAAATTTTTCCAGCTAATTGTTACTTCAAAAATCTAGATCTTCTATATTTATGAATGGTAATGTACTTGATGAGTCATCTACTCTTTGTCTTCTTGGGTTAACTCTTACTTTTTATCTTTCTCAGAAACCATTTATCGAATTGATTGCATCTCTAATCCATTCTTGTATGGAATACTGTTATAACTTTCTTTTTTAGATGCAAAACTTTAGTTATGCATCTAAAGTAGAAAGTTTACTTTACAAAAACGCATTTTATTTTATTCACCTTCCCAAGCTTCCAGAAAGGGTTATTTCAGTTAAGAAGGCTACTCAATTTTTTATTTTTTATTTTTTTTTATTTGCATCTTTTTCTCAATGCTAAACAGAAACACAAACTTTGAAAAACAAGACCACAATATGGAGAAAAAGGTTGAGCACCATTCTTCCAAAAAGATAGGGATTGAACCTCACATCCTTTGATTGCTAAATGATTTACTGCCCTTCTACTACCCTATTAATAAAGTACAAGTGTGACTAAATAATAAAAATGTTCAATATTCTGGATTTACAGATTTTATTTGATTACAGCAATTCTATTTTATGACAGCTATCATTTAAAAATCAAATGATAAAATTTTAGGGAAAGAACTTTTATACTAAAAATTTTTCTTTTATTTGATCATAAGTTGCACTTATTTGAAAAAATAACATTTTAACTAGAATATTCTTTTGTTACCCAACAATAAAATTTTTAAATTAAAAGCACATTCAAATACAATTGATCATAGGTTCCTTTCTGATTAAGTTCTGATTAAGTTTCTGATTAAGTTCTGATTAAGTTTCTGATTAAGTTCCTTTCTGATTAAGTTCCTTTCTGATTAAGTTCCTTTCTGATTAAGTTCCTTTCTGGTTAAGTTCCTTTCTGAAGCAGATCTGATAATGAAAGTTTTATTTGCAAAATGGTTTCTATAACTCTGGAATTATGTTCAAAATTAATGTTAATAATTTGATCTGGCTTTACATTTTACAATTGGTCTAAAAATGTCTCAAAAACATCATAATACATTTGATATCTGGATTTGTTCACCAAACAGAGTCAACTCAAAGAACATGCATTTAGAATTATTTCAATTTTTGGATCAACATTTATAAACAATTAATTTTAAACATGAGTTACGTTAAGAAACAAGTCTTCAGGTTTGCTTAAAAATCAAAAAACATATTCATCCAATTTTCTGAAACTTTGCTAAGACATTCAACAGCAAAACTCTATTGATATTTGGGTTTTTAAAACCAATTGTAAAAAAAATACATCAAGTTCTTATCAGTTTTTATTTTTTAAGTTTTTCATTTTTTAGATGACAATCTCAAGTATTTGGCTCTTTATATTAAAATGTTTACCAAGCCCTGCTATAAATCAAAAAATATATATTTTTAATGATATATTTTTAATGATAACTAGTTTTATTTTATTGTAATTGTTTAGGAAAAAAGCATTATTTAATGTTATTTGTAATTATTTTAAGTTATTTCTAATTATTTTAAGTTGTTTAACTATAATGAAATTTTCAACACATTTTCAAGAAGTTAATTTTTTTTTTACTTTAGATTACATTAACCAAAGAAAAGAATTTTCTCTACCTTCAAGTTTTTTTATTGAAACATTGAATGTTTTAAATAACATATACACTTTATCTTTCAATGTAAAACCCATTCGCTTCCCTAAAGGTTGTAAAAATATTGTACAACTATCTTTTGAAAATACTTTTGAAAGTTGTTCACATGGTTATCTAAGTATTGGGTTCCACAATGATGGATCTGGAAAGTTAATTATAAGTTCTTCAGAAAATGCTGTTAATGACATTGTATCAGACCCACTTCCAATGGGTCAATGGTCAAATATTAAAATATATCAGAGTGAGCTGATTACAGGTCTTCTGTTTGCTGTTGATTTAAATGGTGCAAATATTTATAGGAAGCATTTTTATACAATTTATCAAGAAAAACATTGGAAAAATGTTAAAGTGTATGGTATTTATTTTTGGGATACTGAACAAGATGGTTTTATTTCTGACCTTCTTATTATCAATCAAAAAGTTGGTGAGAATAGTATTAATTATTTTTTAATATTGTTTGCAAGTTAATATTCTGTAATTAAAAAAAAGTAAAGTGTAATATTTGGAAATTTAAAGTTAGTTTGTAATCAAAATTAAATTTGTAAAAAGATATTTTTACTGTTGTCTTATAAATTAAATTTAAAAAAAGATATTTTTACTGCTGTCTTGCAATAAATTTTTGTTTGAAAAAAAAACGGTTTTGTAAATCCTAGCAAATTTTATTTTGGATTTCAATTTTCAATATTGCTCTAAAACATTATAAAAAATAATATTAATAGAGTTATATCTATAAAAAGAAGTATTAACAACATACAAATGATTTATGCTCTTTGTCACAACAAAGATTACTTAGTATCTAATTTATCTGATTGTAAAATTGATATCTACTCATGCAATGATAATTGTTGAGCATTCATTGATAATTTCTTAAGTTAAAATTATTATAAAAACAAAAAAGTTTGTTTTTTTATTGTTTTAAGTTATTTAATTTTCTTGTTAATATAGTACTGACTTATGTAAAATAAATTAAGTTTTTAATGTAAAAGTTCAACAAACTTTTAATTTATGAAAAAAAATTTAATTATTTAATATGTTGTGTATTATGGCTGAAAAGTTAAAATTGGTACATTAAATTTTGCAGTCAAAATGGTGTATTGTTGTTTCTTAACATTAACTAAAAATGTTTGAAATCTGTTTCCACAATCAGTAAGGTAGATAACGTATCTGCTTATAAAAATCTTACAAAAAATATTAATTAGTAAATAAATTTAGAATTAACAAATCATTTAAAGTTTTTATTTTTATGCTGATTGTTACTTCCAGTACAAGCAAAAAAACTTTTAAAAAATAACAAAAGTTTTGTTATTTTCTAAAAGTTAGCTTTTGCATGTTTTTATATATTTACTCTGCTAAAGCAATGATTTAATTTTAATAAAAATATTGAAGTAAAATAAATAAATAAAAACATAAAATATAGAGAAGGAAGAATATAGAAAGCAATATAAATATATTTTAAATATAGAGCAGGATAATAAAAACAGCTGTAAAAGCCTTTTAAAAATGGTTAACATGGTGGTTGTTAAAAGTATGATTCGATTTCAGTAAAATTAAAATATTAAAAAATATTTAAAAGAGTTCAATATTTACATAGTTCAATAGTTTAGATTTTTATAATATAATTTATATAGTTTAGATTTAGTTTAGAAACTTTTAGGCTTCTATATTATTAGTTATTTCAAAGCCATAGATAAAAGTTTTTGAAAAAAAATATATGCTAAAAATTAGTGATTTATTTTAAAAACAAAAATTTGAGAAAAAAAGAGATGATATAGGCAAACTACATTAATTGATGATTAATTTTTCAAATAGTACTGAAATATTGATTTAACAACCCATTGTAATTTAAGTTGAGTTAGACTTGACAAAGTTTCTTTGTAAGCTTGGTTTATCTTTTTTTAGACACTATTTTAACTTATAGATAAAATGGGCAACAAATTTACTGTATAGTCTGCATTAACATTTAGATGACAAAAACTTCTGATTTAGGGTAAAAAAAGTGTTGCAAAAAAAAATTTTGACAAAAATTTTTTCAAAGCAACCAGAGTTTTACAACACAATAAATGTCATATTATAGAATAAGCTAAAACAATAATTTGCACATAGTCTCACACTTCACTAAAATATTTCAGATTTTAATCTAGCATGTTATTTCATTGATTTGTTATTTTCATTTGATTGAATTTCACAAATTGGACTCGTACACAATTTGTACACTCGTACACAAATTGTACACAAAGAAGTGCACCAAGCCTGCTTTAATGGCAATGGCTAAAAGATTGCTTTAGCTTGAAAAAAAAAGTGATGAAATTAACTTGGATTAATTACATGTGAAATAGAAAAGAGATTTAAATACTGTGCTCCTTTTATTGAAAAAATTTACTATATATCCGTAGCTTTACCAGCTAACAAAAATTCGTTTGAAAAAACTCTATTTCTTGCACCAAGAGCTTCTTTTCCAGAAACAATCACAAGCACAATCCAACATAAGCATTTATCAAAATTTTTTGTATAAATTTTTTAGACCAATGCTACATAGGCATTCCATGGAGTGTAAAACATTTAGTAAAACAAAATGCCACAATTAAATGTTTATCAGTTTTTACAAAATTAAATCATTTGTCAGGTTTCTTTGTAAAGGTTTCTAAATGTATTTTTGAGGTAAACTTATAACTTTTTAATGATGGGTTCATTTTTTATTTTTTTATCCAGTGCAATATGTAAATTATCTAAGTTTGCATCTAACTTTATAAATTGTCAAATTTGAAACACAAAGTCTAGCTAAGCGTATTTCAAAATTACGCTTTTTCCATTTTAAGTAATTCTTTTTTATTATTTGTTTTATTTTTCAAGGCAATAATAAATTTTTTTTAAAATAGGAATCTTTCAAGGATAAATATAAATTTTTCTTAGAGAATAAATAATTTGATTAAAGTCAATTTTTCATTATGATTTTCAGGTTTAATCTGTTAAATAATTTTGTTTAATTTTTTAGTTGTTACTTTTTAAGCTACTTTCCTTGTTTTTCTTTAATTGATTTTTTTGTTTCAGTTTTATTTCATTTACTTGGATGATAGTGGGCTGTAAGTTTATAAAGCAAACTTTCAGTTTCCACCACAAAATTGTATCAAGTTTTTCCAATATTAGTAGTAAAACATTTAAAAAAATTATATTTTTGTTGTTTGAGAAACTGAAAGTTTAAATTCAATAGTTGCTGCTGTAACATTTCATAATGTGATTTGTTTGTTACATTAAAAAATAAGCTCTAGTGTTACTCTAGTGTTATTTTAGATTTACTTAAGTACCAATAAGAATTGCCACAATGTTGGCAAATTTCAATTTAAAAAAAAACAGTAGTACAATAGTAATCCATTGAATGATGATGACATACTAAGCTATTTAAGTGTGACTACACTTAAATAGCTTAGTATGTCATCATCAGCTAGTTAAATAGGGATCACATGCAAGAGGTTTGCATATGATCCCTAATATTTTATTAGTTTTTGGGCTAGGGCAACAATCTTTTTTTTTTTTTTCTTTCTTTGTTTTCTGAAAAAATATATTACCATAAAAAAGTTAGCAAATGTATATCTATATACACTATAGTAGATATACATTGTCCTTCATAATATATAATATAAAAAACGTTTTAAATAATTATAAAAAGATTGCGACTAAAAACCTTTTAGATATGTTAATTACAGGTGAATTGAGAATATGTTTATAACTTGTCCTCACCTGTTTGGCTTTTTTATCTGTTTTTTTTTTTTTTTTTTTTTTATGAACATGAAACATTGGTAAAATTGTCAGTTTCAAAACAAAGGGAATTTTTATCTTAAAACAGTTTATTAATAAAATAGCACTGCATTATAACTTTATTTTCAAAACATTTTAATAGTTTTAGTTGACAAAGATGTTTTTAGTTTGTTATAAGTGTTTTATGTTAATATTAACTTCTTGCTTTGCAGAGGTTAAACTAGAGTCTTGCTTTGCAGAAGTTATAAATATTGTATATAATATTGTATATAATATATTAATATAATATTGTATATAATATATTAATATTGTATATAATATATTAATATATTAATATTGTATATAATATTGTATATAATATATAATATTGTAGCTTAAAAGTGATGAGTTCGTAATATATATAATAGTAATTTTTAAACAAAAAATCATTGAAGATTATAATAATGAAACTACATAAAGTGATTTATATAAAAAATATAAAATATCAAAAGCAGAATAGTTAATGAATATAAAACAAAAGAAACTGATGAAACTGAGCATTTAGGTGGATGGCCGAAAAAAAGTATTCTACATACTGATTGTAAAATTATTATGTAAAAAAAAATCTATTTGCTTGTGCAAGAGATAGTTGATAAATTTCAGAAAGTACTGTACAAAGACATTTGGATAAAATATGATTGTATAGGTAATAGGTATTGTGCAGCAAAAAAAACCATTTACATCTGCCAAAAAACCGAAAAGTGTGTTTAAAGTTTGCTAAGGCACACCAAAAGTGGACATAAGGACTGTATAAATATATATATTAGGGTGGAGCGATTTTTATAGCAAAAAAAAAAAAAGTTTAAAAATCAATATTCCTGAGACACGAATCGATGTCTATTAATTATAAGATGAAAGTAAAAAAATATTTTTTGGTTTTGATAAGATCTTGAGGTTCGTCTTTAGATTCTAAATCCTTGACGGATCCTAATTTTTTTGAATTTTTTTTTTCTAAACTATATCAACCTTGGACTCAAAAAAAGCAGAAAAAAATTTTTAGTGAGAAAAATATTTGCAAAAATATACCTTAAAACCCCCGTTTTGATGAAGACGGGGGTTTTTTAATGAAAAAAACGACATTATTATTTCCTCTTTAGTTTTAAATTAAAACAAATATTATGTTCAAAATAAGCGTATTATTCTGCTTCTTTTGAGTACCAGGTTAATATAATTTAGAAGAAAAAAAATTTCAACAATATTAGGATCTGTCATAAATTTAGAATCCAAAGAGGAACCTCTAAAACTCATATTAAAAAAAAAAAAAGTAAGGCTCTTTTTTCACCAAAAGACATTGATTCGCAGCTCAGGCTAATCAAATTTCAAAAATTTTTAAAATCGCTCCACCCTAATATATATATATATATATATATATATATATATATATATATATATATATATATATATATATATATATATATATATATATATATATATATATATATATATATATATATATATATATATATATATATATATATAATTTTTATATATAATTTTTGCAATTTTTTTGTTACGTAACTCTTAATAACAGGTATAAATAACTATAAAGTATATATATATATATATATATATATACTTTCTTGCTTAGCATTTACACTATAAGTCAAAAAAAAAAATTATTTTTGATGGAACCTTGTAGTATACTTCATAATACATGTGTGTAATGGACAATAAAGTCAAATTACAAGTTTAAGACCTCAAAAAGAATGTTTGTAGCTAATATCATATTTAAGTTATTTTCAAGTTTTTTAGAATGCTCTTCTGTAAAATGTTTAAATTAGATATATAATCTTATTAGATATATAATCTTAATGCCATGCAAAACAGATATAATATATTGATTTTAATATTACATTTTAGTATACATATATATATATATATATATATATATATATATATATATATGGAAATTGATATAGATATATAATATATATATACATACATATATATATATATATATATATATATATATATATATATATATATATATATATATATATATATATATATATATATATATATATATATATATATATATATATGTATATATATATATGTATATAACATATTGGTTTTATGAAAAGAATGTTCTCATATTTGTGTTGATGAATCACTTTTATTTCAATGCATTTTTTAGATTACTTTGTTGACAATCATAATATTTCGTTGGCACATGGAAACATTGTTGCACAAATACCACTACTTGATAAAGAATTTTTAATTTCTTTTAATGTTTTTCCTCAATATTTTGATAATACTTTTGGTAATATAATTTACTTTAATAAAATTGGATATAAAGAATTAAACAACAATGGAATTTTAAAGATTGATTTTAGTAATAATGGAAGACTTTTTATTGATTTTAAAGATGTTGGAATATATAGTACAAAACCAATTGAACTAAATATGTGGTGCAAAGTTGAAATTATTCAAACATTAAAAAGTACAAAATATGTTTACATTATCAAAGTTAATGAAGAAATTGTTTTTTATAAAATTAATGACAATGCTCAGAGTTTTTTGAACATCAAAGTATATGCCTCTAGCTTTTGTGACTTTTCTCATAAAGGCTTGATACAAAATTTTTTCATCAACAGTAACCAAGGTAATTTTTTTTTTTTAATACAATTTTCTTTAAACTAATTTTTTTTTCTTAAAAGTAATTTTGTTTACAAAAAAAAAGTAATTTTAAAACTTTTTAAATTTATTTATCTATTTGAATTTCGAAAAATGTTATCATGATCTCAAACTTTTTTATTGTTCAATAATTTTTATATAGTTTATAATAGACATTTTTTGTAAGTTTTAATGTCTAGAAAAACTGTTTAAAAGATACAGTTTTTTTTGTTTCTTTATTTTTTCTATTTATTATTTCCATTAATATTGTTTAACCACAATAAAAGTTTGATATTGTTGAACTTTGATAAAATTATTAGTTTAAAGTATAACAAATAAGATTAAAAAAAATTGTCATTTTAAATTCAGTTTAATGATAGAGTTAAACTATGATTTAAAAAGATTCAAATAAAAATTTAAAAATAATTATTCAAATTTATCTATTTTTTTGATTTTTTTTTTTTTTAATTTTTTTTTAATTTTAATTCACCTCCTCAAGGCCGAGAAGGCCTCTACAGACAAGGAGGCTACTTATTTGTGGCTATAACCCTCTCTCAACTCTATAACTCCAAAATACGAACCTTGAACGAGTGGAGAAGCGAGTTGAGCGCGGTACTACCAGGGACGTGGTGGGGATTGACCTCGGAACTACTCGTTTATGAAGCGAGCGCTCTACCACTACATTACTACCGCGTTTAACCGCGAGCACTCTACCACTACACCACTACCACATTTATTGTGGATAATTTAAAATCTATGAGATATTTTTTTTTTAATGTAATAATCTAGATTTTACAAACTACAAACCTAATAATATTAGAAATTTAATAATTTGAATTTAAAAAAAAAGGAAAGATATTTTTACACACACAATTTTTGACTGTTTCAAACTCCATAAGTAACAAGTTGTCACCCTTTATTGAACCCTCTGCTAAAATTATATAACTATATCAATCAATGATGAAACTGAAGAAATACATCAACTAAGGGTTTTTGTGTTTGGCTAAGCGCTTTTTAATCAAAAATTTTTTTTCATAATATTAAATGGTAATGTAGGCACTAGAAGTGTTTGGCTTGACAAGCCCGTTTTTATGATAAAGTTAAAGTAATCAATTTTTAAAGTTTTTTTACTTGAGTTTGATAAATAAACATCAAACACTATTACAGCATTACTCTCATTTTAATATTTGTTAGCATTCATTATATACTGTACACAAAGGCTATATATCTCCAACAATTGTTTGCAATTAATAAAAATTTAAAAGCTTAAATGAAGGTACACTGTTTTGCATGGAACAGCACTTTTAAAAATTTCATAAATCTTTCACTGTATATTTTTGTTTATTATTATGTAAATTTATTTTTTATGGAATGTTATGTATTTAAAAAGTATTTAAATAACTATTTGAATTATTTAAAATTAGTTTTCTTTTTTTGTGTTAGATATTGAACATAATGTTTTGGTTCCTGCAGGTATTTTTATTTATTGATTTTTATTTAGAAAATTTTTTAATGAATTTTACTTTCTTTTTATTTTGTATTTGAAATTTTTAATAACTTTTATTTAAATAATTATTTTTTTTTTTAATATTTGAGTTCTTTTCATTATTTTTTAGATTATATTAATTATAAAAAAGTATTTACGCCAACTCAAGGTTCAATTATTGGTTCAATAAAACATTTGGATAACCAGTTCACTGTTTCTTTTAATTTAAAACGGTTAATTAGCTCTGAGGCTTCTAAAAATGTTCTTAATAATGTATTCTATTTAACCTCTGGCAATAATGATTTTGACGAAAAAGACAACAGAGTTCTAAATGTATGTTTTTGGAATGATGGCTCTGATAAATTAAATATTTATTTTGCAGTAAATGCTGTTAATGATTTTAAAGTTGAAACTGATCAACTTATTATAGGTCAATGGTACAATATTAAAATTTCTCAAAGAAAGCAGAAGGGTTTGTTGTTTTTAGCTGTTGATCTCAATGGAAACAATATAAAAAATGTAACAAGTATTGATTTAAAATTATCATTCAATAATATAAAAGTGTATGCTTCTAATTCTTGGGATATGCCAATAAATAGTTTAATTTCTGATCTTCTGATTGTTAATGGAAATGCTGGTGTGAATGTTTTTTTTTTAAATTTATTGTGAACTTCATATTTAATTCAATTGCAATATAAAAATAACTTTTGTGCCAATTATAAAATTATTTTGTATTAATCTGATGTTTTAGAGTATGTTGTTGGTAATATTATAACGCCATTAGTAAAAGGAAAGTTGATTGCTCATATTCCAAAATTATATAATGAATATTTTGTTTCATTTGATGTTTACCCTAAAAATTTTGATGCTATGCAAAATGTTATTGATTTTACTATTGGCACTTATTCTCAAAAAAACAATAATAGTATTCTTGGGATATGGTTTCATGAAAACAATGAAAAAAAAGGACTTCTCAGCATTTCTTCTGATAATTTTAAACTTGGCCAAGATTCATGTATTCATTCAAGTCCAATAGGTCAAAATATTTGGTCAAACATTGAGGTACGTCAAACAAACATAGGTGCTAATTATGTATACACAATCAGATTAAATGGGGTTAATGTCTTTTCTAAAAATATCAGTCAAGCCAAAATTTTTGATAATGTAAATGTTTATGCATCAAATACATGGAATGAAAACGCAAATGGCTCAGTAAAAAACTTTTTCATTGTCAATGGCAACAGCAGTAATTGTTTAGTTTATTACACATTGTTTTTGTTTGTTTTTTTAGTTTCTTATTTGTGTTTATTTACACAAGTATTATTTTGTTTTTAAAAATATATATTTATTGTTTGTTTTTTTTAGAAGAAGAAGTGGAAAAAATTAAAATTCTTTCAAATGGTAGTTTAAAACAATTTTAATTTGATTTTTTAAATTTTTCAAATTTTTTTAAATTTACTAAATTTATGTTTTGATGGTAATTTTTTAATTTGCTTTAGATATACATAAATAATAATAATTTTTTTAGAATTTAAAAACTTATCTTAAAATAATATATGTCAATTTATACTCAAAAAAAAGTGTTATAAAAATATTAAATCACTATTTTTTCAATTAAGAAAATTTAGTGTAAAATTTATTAGAGTCAATTAAAGATTTAATACATTTAAATTTTATGGTTATTATTAAATATTAAAAATTATTTAATTTAAGTGTTATTAATAGAAGTCATAGTTGTCTGAAAAATGCTAAAAAAAAAAAATTAAATTAAGAGAATAATTTATTAGAACTATTTAATGATTATATGCTTTTATATTTTATGATAAATGGTAAATAAATCAAAATCACATGTTAAGTAATTTAAATGTAATTAATAATGGCATAGTTAATGTTTATATGTATTAAGAAACATCATAAAGTCTGTTTAAAAATAAAATATTTTATGTTTAATTAGATGGAATATATGGAATATTTGCCAAACAGAAATAAAATTTTTTTTTAATAAAGTCATAATCAATTGAAACCGGAAATGAAACTGGGATACTACTATACTAAAGGGATAAACTGGAATACTACTAGCCTAAAGTATCTTATCTCTAGTTATTTGTGTACTACTCATTAAAATGAAACCCTTGTTAATGGAATGCAGTTTACCAAAAATAGACAACAGCTTTTAATTATTAGGAATTAGAACTTACATTTGCTTATTTATCAAAATCGTTTTGGCAGCATCTGGTTGTTGCCAGAAAATTGTATATGTTGCTTAATGCAGCATACAATTCTTAGATTAATGATGCCTACATGTTTATATATGCTGTTAAATAATATGATAAACGATATATCTAATGATAATGATACCAAAGATTTTTTATTAAAATGATTTTATTTTTTTAATTATAAAAAAACTTTTAGGTTCATCATTTAACATGCAAGATTACCACATCCAGACAATCTGGCCTGTAAAAGGAATCACTAACCTAGATTCTTAGTTGCTTGCTGGGTTCAGTATATCACGAAAAAAAATTTTTTAACAATTCTGTGTTAATTAGTGTGATACTATTTCAAAACTATTAGTATTGACAAAAGTACTTCAGAAACTATATACCGAGTTTATACCTTACTGATTTTCAATGTAATTGATAAAATTCAGAACACAGATACACTTTATATGTTACCTATTTTAATTTTTGTTTTCTGATTCATGCACAAGTTTTAAAAACTGATAAGAATACTAAATGATAATGAGAATAGTAGCACAATTGTTTCTTGTATTTATTTATAGCTCTATTTATTTTTAAAGGTCTAGATTTGAATTAATTTTTTGTTTTGATTTTGAAATTACCTGTTTGAAGTTACATACTAAAGTTACATACTGAAGTTACATACTGAAATTACCAGTTTGAAGTTACATACTAAAGTTACATATTTGAAGTTACATACTGAAGTTTTTGAAGTTACATACTAAAGGAAAAGCAAGTTTTTGTTTTTACTTTCAGTTATTTTTTTAAAGTTTTGCAACTTTTTTCTTAATTACTTGAGTGTGAATAACTTTTATATTACACTATACTAATGGTTTTATATAAGAAGGAAAATGTTGTTTTCTTATTTTTTTATTTTTGAATAGATTTTTTTTATATATTTTTATTTTTAGTATGTGATTTATGTTTCAAGAATAACTGTGAGAATGATACAAATGGTTTTCTTTACTGTGAATGTCCAATTGGTTATGTTGGTGATGGATACTCATGTATACGTAAGTTAAAATTTTTTATTTCATATTAGTTTTAAATAAATGTTGTTTAAATTTATGAGGTTTATTTATTTTGCATTAACAGTGATTTAATTTATTTTTAAATTTAATTAAAATTTTTTTATATAAGTTTTATACTAACTTTATTAACCTGATATTATTAACTAATGGTTGAAACATTATCTTTTACTTAACAAAATCATTTGATAATCAAATTGGTTAATGGAAATTGATTTCATTCATACATAAGTCTTGTTTTAATGCTTCTAATTAGTTAAAACATTTTTAAAACATTTGCAAAAAACTAATTTAAACACATGAATATCAATTTAAATAAAGTTAGATTTTTTTAAGTTGATATTTTTACTTCTAAAATATTTTCCTAGTTTTGTTTTAAATAAAAAACTTTCATTTGCTAAGATATAAATATATACAAAGATTCTATCGTTACAAATTAAATAATAAGATAAAAGTTAAATAATAAAAACTGAGTATAAATAAAATAGTCAAAATAATTACTAATGATTGAGTTTTACTTTATATTAGTTAAATAATATACTTTTGTTTTAATTTTTTAAGCATACTGTTTTGGTTCATGTAAAGCAAATCAGCAGTGTGTTGTAAAAAACAATGAACCATTATGTGAGTGTGTTAAGGATTCTTGTGAGTATAATTCTTTTTCTTTGCATTTATAATATTTACATAAAAAATATAAGTTGTTACGAAAGAAGTTTATAAAATATTATATTTTTTGTTTTGATTATAACAATGTTTATTTGTATATGAAGAAAAACTTTTTATTACTTAACAAGCATAAAATAGTCAAATATCTCAAAATGTATGACAAAATAGTTTTCATAAAAGTGATGAGTTGCACCAGAATGTAATTAGAGAAGGAAAAATTATTTCTTGAAGGCCAATAATATGACTTTCAAGGTTAACATGGATGCATGAATTTTACTTCAAAGTCTTTATTTTACTAGTAAACAAGCATTCCTTAATAATTTCATCAGTTTGAAAATTAAAAACAAATGAATACATTGCAGTAAATCGTTAGAGATGAAACATATTGAATCATATTTGAGTAAATTATTTACTTTGTAATAAACTACTGTTTGATGTAATGTTATTTAATTTTGTTCTGTGAAAATTTTGCGTTTTCCCTTGTATAACAAACGTATAGTTTTCAGAAAAATCACAGAGCACTTATGATCTCAGTAATGTAACTCATTTTTCAATTTAATTAAAGAAGTAGCTTGACTTTTTGCAGTTTAAGAATGAGCAGTAAGTTTTTGTAACTTATCTGTCGGATTATTAATAAAGCTTGTATTTTCAGTTACACTAGCTTAGATTAGTCTGTTTTCTTTCATTGTTTGTAACATATACAATAATCATCCTCATCAATATCGCCTTGAGAATACAGCTCATAGGGAGATGTAGAATAGGGAGATATACATAGGAAGATGTAGCATGCAATTTTTGTTTGCTCTACTAAACAAACATATCAATAGTTTCATAATCCTTTAGCAGTTTAACTTTACTAATCAATGACATTTTGATAGTAGGTGCACCCAAATAATGTATGCATTATTCATGCTCCAATTATAATGCACTATTTGGACAATTGACATTATGGACATTTTGAGCAAAAGTTATAAAAATATTTGGATAACAGGTTTTAAACTTAGCATTCAGTTCTTTGACATTCAAGAAATTCATCTTAAATAAAATATCCTTTCCTTTTTTTTGTGCAAAAATAAAATACCATTTTTCTACAGTATTTTGTTGGGATATCAGCACTACATAACTAGATACATTCAACTCTTTTTCAATATATTTGTTAGACCTAATAATTGAAACCAGTTGTTAGTAGTTGGATTTTTTGATTGCAGTTGGAGAGTTATAGTCAAATTTTCATACTCTTTATTTTCATTTGTAGTATTTTGTTCACTATTACTTTCAGCTCAGGGTAAAATTAGATGATTATTTGAGATCATCATATTGACTTTTTCAAAATTAGTTTTTTCCTTTTTAATAGTTTGTACTGCATTGATACAAGAAAAATTTTTATTAAAGATTTGTTTGTACTGCCGAATATGTTTTGTACTGCCGAATATGTTTATTTTGGGCATTAGCTGCTTCCTCAGAAAACTGGCAAATAGGAAGGATTGCATGAGTTATTACTTTGGAACCATGTATCAAAGCTTTATTCATATTTTTAGAGCTAGAATACAACCTGTACAGATTTATATACATTTTAGCAGTTTCATGAGCAAAAGTCTCAATATTGTGTTGTTTATTTATGTTACTATATTATATTAACAACATCAATTCTCTTGAAATGATTTATAGAATAAAGTGAAAATGTTTATTATATGAAATATTTATTAAATCTAACTTAACACCAGTGATATGTGAAAAGGATTTTGAGTGTGAATAAAATCTTCTTGATGTATTGCCACAATTGGTGTATTTCCAAACCCTGATAAAGTATATATATACTGGAAGCCCTAATTTCTCTTTGAGGGATCTTTGTATTTTCTTCTTCACTTTTTTTAACAATTTTTTTATTTGTCAGATTGAGGTTGCTACTTTTTTTTAAATGTATTTATTTGGTTTTTTAATAAATTTTCGAAAACTGGCAGATGTTGGTAGATGAACTCTGGTTGTTAACAGCCCATAGTTATTGCTCATAAAAAAATTTTCATTTGAAAGACCATACTTGGTAACAAAAGCTTTATTATCTTATAATTTTATGTCAAAATTATTACTTGAATAGGCCATAACAAAAGCATGTTATACTATGCACAATAACAATAGAAATATAATGAAATAATTTTTAGAAATATAGTACATGCTATCCTCTAGCTTTTTTATACAAATTCTCCACTGCGCATTTCAAGTTTTTATGTATACTGATATCTTTTTTTTAGGTACAGATCCCTACTTTTAATGATATATAGCTAATTTAACAATTGAGTGGTTAGAGCCAAGTGCATGAAAATCTATAAAGTGTTTATTTTGTTATTTAGAACAAGTTTATTAAAAATCATCTTAAATGCAGCAGAACAAGAGTCTTTTTAAACTTTTTTGTAAAAACTTCCCTTGTAAGTCATTTGAGAAAAATGCCCCTTTAAATTTTCTCCATCAGTTGTGCTTGAGGAAAAATTGATGGGTCAGATTCCCTATCAACATAACAGGCATATTCATCATATTCATCCATCTAATTTAGAGAGTCTGGACACAATCCAGAGTAATGAAAAATCAAAATAAATAGTCATCATGATTTATGTGTATTAATGAAAAAAGTCATTTTTCTAAACATTCATCAACATAGATTTATTGCTACAGAATTGAAAGGCTCAGACATACCTACCCTTATCAAAACATTCTCATGGAATTTCTATGGGGAAACCATGGTTTTTTTTTCATAGCTCATGTTGCACCATAAGTTTTACAATTGCACGTTTAAATATGTGGTCGTAACTCATAGAGTCACAATCATTGGTAACTTGAGTAAACAATATTTTTGCATTCTTCTGTTTTTCAGTATTTAATAAGATTATAAATTATGTGTTTTTTTATAATACATCACATTTAATATAATTCAAATTAAATATACAAACATAAACTACTTGAGTTAAAATATGATAAATGTATGCATTTTATAATGCATAATAATATTATCAAAGGTGTAGGTCTTGAAACTTAAACCTTGGTCCCAAGACGCCTCAAGACTCATATTTAACTGTCTTGATCTTGAAGCTTGGAGTCATGGTCTTAGTTTTGGTCTTGGTATTGGTTCATAATGTCTTGGCCTTTACAGTATTTACACCTCTGGATATTATCATATAAATTCATATATATGATAATATCCAGAGTTTGTTTGGTTTTCTACAAATAATTTAGTTTTAATATACATTAGATAACCAGTATATTAGTGTCAGGTCAGGTTTATCCTGCTACTGGTAACATGTAACCCAGTATAATCTGCTTTATGTGCTGCTGCCTTGTAGGCAAAGGCTAGGAGATGCAAACTTCGACATTAAACACCCCCTGACTTGGAGCTCTTGGTTGAGTGAAGGCTAAAGATGATCTCTTAATAAAAATACTCATCTTGGCAGATGTTAAATGCATCCGGCTGCTATCTTGTAGAAGGCCTCCTAGGCAAAGACTTATAGAGTAAACAGATTCTATCTGTTGACCAGCCTCGCACCCCTTCTTCATCTATTAGTCTGACGCAGATGTGTTTTCAATACATTGTTTCCAGTTTAGGACGCTGAATGCTGGATTTTCTTGACTCGATGCATGGGTTTTGCTTGTGTCTCTGTTTTTATGACTAGGCAACTCATTTTATTATCTCCTAATATGGGTACAACTCTAAAACTCAGTTTTATGGTTCTGAGGTCGGCTGGTAGTCAAGTTTCCCAAACTCTGTGGTAGCTTTCAGAGTGGCTGATTCCATCAAGAGCTGAAAAATATCAAATTACTAACAATGCATGTTGCGCATGAATGGTGTCCCTGTTTGTACTTTTCGTGTGCATTACCAAAGCCACATAGGAGCCCTTTGTCATGGCTCAGGGTTTATTAGTAGAAATAAGGCATTTGCTTGAGCTATTAAACAGTGTACTGAGTACTATCTATGCTTTGAGTCAAGTTCTTTAACAAATTTAAAAATGAATGAAATTCCAAAAGCTATAAAACACAAAAAACCATTGTCATCACCAAGTTCTCTAAACGTATGATTCACTAATATTTGTGGTCTTCGAAGTAACTTTTTTTCTATTGAGTATTATCTCTTGTAAAGTTCACCAGACCTACTTGCTCTTTGTGAGACTAATTTGAGTTCAGCTGTCTCATCTTGTGATCTTAGTGTTGATGGTTATCTTACTTTGAGACTCCAATTTGTAGGGACTCCAATAGTCATATGCTTGGCCTGGGCATTAACATTCGTAAGAATTCATCCATTGGTCGGGAAACTAGGTTTGAATCCACAGAATACTCTTTTATGTGCTTTTGTTTAGCATCACTTTACTCTATCACCTATCTCTTTGTTCTATATCGCTATCCTACATCTCAAGACTGCACTCTATTTGATGTTATTTCTGATTATATTAATCAGGCTTTCTCTCTTTATCCATCAGCAAATATTGTTATTGTAGGTGAGCCAAGCCATTCAGTGTAATGTTCATCACACTGAATGGCTTGGCTCTAGTGTCAGTGATTCTGTAGGCATTAAAGCCCGCAACTTTTGCCCTTCTCAATCCCTAAATCAAATAGTCAACTTTCCAACTTGCTTTCCAGACAACCTGAATCATTTACCTTCTCTACTTGACTTATGTCTCTACTTGACTTATGTCTTCTGATTCTAATCAGTACTAAGTCAAAGTTTGATCCCTCTAAAACTATTATCTTATTCTTCTTTATCATAAGAATCCCCTTATTATCGTACATCTTACAACTACCTTAAAGCTGACTGGAACTCTTTCTGTGATTTTCTTTGTGATTGCCCTTGGGTAGAAATCTTTGGCCTTCCTGTTGACAAATGTGCTTTTTACATAAATTTATGGATTCAGCTTGGCATGGAATCCTTTATTCCCTCTCGACAATTCACGGTCAAGCCTCACTCTTCTCCATGGTTTACCTCACATTGTGCTGCTGTT